CAAAGCAATTTTTGAGTTAAATTCAATATCTTTTCCGAATATATCACATATTTCCTTAAAAATCAATTTCCAAAATTTCTGAATCAATTTACACTCCCACTACATATGATAATATGTGCCAATTTCTTCATCACATTTCCAACAGGCCTTAGAATAGTCTGAATTTATTATGTTCAATTTCACCGGAGTCATGTACCATCTTAAACTAATTTTTAAAAAACTCTCCTTTATTCTTACTGACATTAATCTTACAACTCTCGTCTTCCAAATTTTTATCCAATCCTCTATTCTAATTTCTGTCTTTAAATCATGTTCCCAAATTGATTTTAATCCTTCTATTTCAATCTCTTTTTCTTCCTGATTCAAAACTACGTTATAAATTTTACTTACTACTCCCTTCTTCAAAGCATCCTTCTGCATGTCTTCATGTGATGACAGAAATTGTTCATACTTAGTACATTCTCTACTTTTGCCATTAATCCTCAACCATTCATTAGTCCATCTGTCTAATTGGATATAATTGTACCATGATAATATATTAATTTGAAGTTTAGCTATAATCTGATCCTTTTAATTCATTTTAACATTTATTGTGTTTTTAATTCTATTCATTTGAATACTGTAAGCTGCCTTGAGACCCTTGATCAGAAGAAAGGATATCTTATTTTGTCCTATAAATAAGACAAATAAATAAACAAATTGGTGAAAAATGGCAAGGAACATGCATTGCAGTGGCTGCAACAAAAAGTATTCCAATTTTAATATGTGATAGAATTCTTGTGACAATTTTTGTCCCAGCTGTTGTTCTGTCTGCAAAACCAAAGCAAAACAAAATTTAAACAAGTACGTGGGAAGTGGCTTAAATGTGAGGATAAAGTAAGTGGAACGTTTTATTTTCTTGAATACTAGGGTGAAGTTTTGAATTTGTGAAAAGTTTGAAACTTTTGACTTCGGGAAATAACCTGAATATTTCTAAACATTTATATGAATTACATGAATTATGAAAATTCGTGGTTACTGTGGTTTCAACACAGACTTGGAATAGAAAAATCAACACTTTCATGAACACCACATCTACCTAGATGGCTGTATTCAAAGGGAAGGAATTAATTTTAATAATTACCAACAGGAAAACAGTTCTGTGTGTATCTTTTACTTAAAGTGAAATATTAGTAGTAAAAGGAATCTTTGTGTAGCATAAAAAAGAAACAGCATAACTTGGTGTGCAAAATTATTCCACATTTCAACATACCTGGGTTGTGCACTTGGTTTTGCACTCAGAGGGTCAAAAAATTTGAAACCCACTTGTCTGATTCCCCTTACAAGCGCAGTATCTTACAACCGAATTCTGACGATCAGTTAATATAAATCTGGTTTAGTTCGTCACTGCTGATTACATTTGTTTGAATGTGTTTGCAACAAATAATACAAAATTTATTGGGTGAAATCTACTAATGTTCACTTTCCAGGAGTACAGATTTTAAATGCATTAATTTTAGCAAAACAACTTTCTTCTGCACGCTCTGAAATTAGGGGTTGGGGAATCCTGTGGAGCAGACTATAGGGCCAGTGACTAAGGCAGGAAAAGGAGGGAATCTCATTTGTGCTCTGATGTCTCTTCTAGTATTCATTGCAGCACATTACCAAACAATGGCTGAAATCTTCTTGCATAATGACAGAAACAGCGTAACTTTTGGAAACAAATTGCCACAGATTAAAAAATCCTCTGTAGACCAAGTCACATGCAACAGATAACGCCTACAGAGATTTCTTAACTCATGGCCGGTTATCTTTAAATGTTACACTGTTTGTGTAACTATGAAATAGGATTTCACCCAATGATTTGTTTGGTTTCTACAAGCTTCTGGCCTGTATTTTGATCATCTTATGACCCATCATCCTCAACATGTAAATATGTATTGTAGTTAGCAAGCTGAAGTTCCATTTAGTAACTTGAAGCTGCCCCCCCCACGTGGCTCTGCAAGGTATAAATGCACATTAACAATACCTGGATAGGAGCTGCACTTCGAACAGGTATTGCGGGCATGTAATTAATGTTCTGCACACACTGAGAGATTTTCTTAATTGCTGGCTCTCAAATAGCTTGAGCACTAATTCATCTGATCCCGAGAGGATACAGCAAACAATGCACATAGAGATGGATTTGATTACAGTAATTGTGCAAGGAATATAGATTTCTACACAACTGAAATGAAACTATCCCAAATCCTGCATAACATGTGTAACATGAGAAATGATCCAATTTGTTCAAATTCCAAAGGAATACTTTACGAAGATGGCAATGTGACACACAAGGAAAAAAAAATTAAGAATTAGTGCACCAAAATTATTAGTAAAAAAATGGAGTACTGATATTCAGTTGATTTTAAAAATGCAAAATTGTGAATTATATATTCTAAGGAGTTTGCCTACCGTCCAATCTTAAGGACGAGAATGGAGCTATTAGTGGATTATATTGTTTTTTCATTTTGATATAGATAATGGGACAGACACAGACTCAGCCAAAGGAATAAATAAAACCAAAGCCACACAAAATAGCAAGCAATGTTGTGCAAGCAACCAGACAGATTTAAAGGAGGACAAGCAACAATACATTTTATGTCTTTAAGCTTTGGGTTACATTTTCATTATCATCTGCAGACTTTTCAAAAAGCTGTGTCAAGGTTTCCTTACATTTAAAAGTTTTTCTTTAAAAAAAAAGAGAGAGAGTTCAGTGAATGCCCCCTTTTCATCATGAATTAAAGAAGAAAATATTTAGTAGGTCAAGTCATACTCTAAAACCAACTCCCTTTTCAAAAACAAAAAGGGCAAGATATGTGTATATATTTGCATTCTTGTCAATCGACAGACAGGACATAGGCTGGAGTCCACCAATCTTGACAGAGCCTGTTAAAAAGTCCATGTTTATTAACATGCAACCCTAATATTTTTTCTTTCTTTCTTTTTTCTTTTTGGTCTGTCTGAGATAATACATCTGACTGTTTGTAAGCCATTCTAATTGCTGTCTGTTTGCTGTAAGCAGTGAGAGAATCATCCTGTGTGTTATGATCCAGCAGCCAAATATAGAGTTGCATTGAATGATTCCTGCTGCAGGAGTGCAGTTTAGGTATAATTTTTGTGGGGAAAGATAACAAAGTGAAATCTTTGGGCTTACGTTTTTCTTTTAGTCTCCGCCTATATGCTTCCTCTACAATAGGAAACGGAGAAAGTCAAATAATAAGCAGAAAAAACATAGATGAGATATTAAGTGCAGTTTCATCATCACATTATGCATTCAAGAGTAAGAAGCATATCTTGACATACTGCTGAACGCTATCGCCCTTGAAATGTTGGCAAAAAGAGAACAAAGTTTTGTTCCCACGTCAACGCGACTTAGCCTGTGTTTACTCAGATGTTAAGTTTTACCAAGGTCAGTGGGGCTTACTTCCACAGAAGTGTGGATGGGGTTGCAGCCTTGCAGTGTAATCCAAGGCCCGTTTTGCTCAGAATTTGGCCCCAGTGACTTCAACAGGAATTAGTGGGGCTTTCGTCATTTTAGAATCAACACCCAAAAAAATACAATGGGCTTCAGAAAATTAAAAGATTGCTCTCTTTTCTGACCACTGTTAAGAGAAACAGCATGTTCTAGTAACGCATGCACATCTTGTTATACTAAACATGCACAAAGACAACAAATAACCCCCAGCCTATATAAGAATTTAGTGTGCATCAAGATGCATTTGACTAAATTCCATCTAAAATTGCCATTTATCTTCCTGGAAGCAATAATAAATGGTTTAACTTTAATGCCCTTTCAGTAGGTGAACAAAGATTCAGCCACTTATGGTTGAAACTGAAAAAGTAATTATTGAGATAAAAGATTATTAGAATAGATGTACGAAGTATAATCACTTTGATCAGCAAGAGCCTTGATATATGCTGCCTCTTATGAACGGCTGTAACACTTGTCCTGTAAAGGCTGTTACTTATAATAACCACAAGTGCACTCCATTAACTTGTCGATCACAATGAGTTAGGTAGCTGGCTGTAGAGCCAGAGGCTGGAAGCTCAATTCCTCACTGTGCCTCCTAGATGTAGAGCCAGCCTGTGCAGCCTTGGGCAAGCTATACAATCCCAGGGTGCCCCCAGAAAAAGGGAATTGTAAACTACTTCTGAGTACTCAGTACCTCAAAAAACCCCAAAAGGGTCAACATAAGTCAAAACTGATTTGACAGCATATTACTCAGTACCTCAAACCCCCCCAAAAGGGTCAATATAAGTCAAAACTGATTTGACAGCATATTATTATTCTGCCAGGAAAAAGATGAAAACTTTGTCACACCTCATCTGTGAATGTCCAAAGATTGCACAGATTTATATATTTATTTATTTATTTTATTTATATCCCGCCTATCTAGCCAACTCAGGACCACTCTAGGAGGCTCACAATCATCAAAGTTACAAAGTTAGCCATGATAGAGTAGCAAAATTAGTGCACTGGTCATTTTGCAAAAATTATAACTTGCCAGCTTTCAAAAACCCATGGGAACATCAGGTAGAGAAGGTGTCAGAAAACGAGGAAGTCAAGATCTTGTGGGATTTCCAGATCCAAACCAGTAGACACCTTGAGCATAACCCACCAGACATAGTACTAATAGAATGAAGAAACATCTGGATCACTGACATTGCAATTCTGGCAGATGCCAGAGTTGAAAGTAAAGAACTGGAAAAACTAACAAAGTACAGAGACCTGACAATCGAATATTGCCAATTTTTGTAGATCTGATGGTGTTATTTCTGAGATCTGCATTTGCTTGTAATACTGTTTGAAATTTCTTGATATTGTTCCCCAAGCATAATGACTAGTGCACTAATTTTGCTACTCTGTCATGTCTAATTTTGTAATCTGTTTGTGCAGGCTTTGGATATTCACTGGACACTTCATCTTTTTATTGGCAGACTCAATATTTGCTGTTAGCACTAATTCCTTGGTTCTTAGCTTTCATCATGGTGGTTTGGAGTGCTTGTTCTTGTGCAGCAAAACTCAAGCCTTTGGTTTCTTTCTTAAGGGTCCCCAGTTTTAGCCATGCCCATGTTGAATTATGATAATGTTTGCCATCAGTATTTCTCAGGTGTTGTCCATGTAGATGTTCCACAATTCTTCTAAAGTTTCAAGGAGTCGTTACTGTAAACTACTTTTGTATCCTTTGAAAGTATAATAGTAATTGTGTGCCATCAAGCCAATTCTGACTTATGGTGACCCTTTTCAGGGTTTTCCGGGTACAGAGTAGGCAGAAATGGTTTACCATTCTATTCTTCTGTGGGTGCTCTTGGACTGTGTAGCTTGCCCAAGGCCACACAGGCTGGCTCTGCTCACAGGAAGTACAGCATGGAATCAAACTTCCAACCTTTGACTCCTCAGCTAGATATCTAAACCACTGAGTTATTAGACTGGAAAGTATTGGATAAAAATCATATCAAGATAAAGGGAGGCAAATACATCTACATGTAACAACATTTTTAAAAAGCCTTGAATGAAAATAGCTGTTACACACTGAGAAAAATACCCCAGTATTATGGGATTACAAAACAACACTGATCAAATTCTCTGTGATAGAAATGTGTGCTCTTTCATTTTAAATGCAACACTCCAAATTTAAATCTTAATGACAGAATGGGCAAGACTATTTTGGAGCATCAAAATAAACCCAATCTTTTTGATAAGAAATATTGCTATTTCTACATCCCTATGAGGTTACCTCTTTCTGCAATTTCATTATTTGTTGATGTCCTTGAGATTTGACTCCGCAGTCGTTCAATTTCTGAGTCTTTTAGAGCTAACTGTTCCTGAAGTTGTGCTATTTCAGCCTGAAAGAACAGGTCAACGTTAGTTTTCTTTTCATCTCCATCCTTTACCAAAAGAAGCAAAGACTCATATACTCTATTATCTTTTTCCTGGCAAAAGTGTGTGTTAAAAGTTAACAATATAGCAGGAAACATAGGAATGCTGATAGGGTGGGGAAATGCATGTCTCACAAGATAATAACGCAGAGGATTCTCTTCAGGAAAGAAAAGAAAGAAAATAAACAAAATGACAATAATAAATTTGATCAGCACAGTAGCACAGGAGGAGGGGCTTTATAGCTTTCTTACCAAAAATTATTTCCAGAAGATCACATCAACTCTGGGGGGCAGAAAGGGTAGCATCTCTATTTGTACTTTTGCTCTTTGTGGGACAAAGAGAAGCTATGGATTGGGTTAATGGAACAGGATAAATTACTTGTTCATTCTGCACCAGCCCTTTTTCGAATTAAATACAGAGCCCCTTGTATGTGCTTTATAAGAAATGGGGAAAAGTCAGAATTCCTGGTTATGGATCTGTGTGGTTCAGCTCTAAAGTATCCATATTTTGCTAAAGAACAAAGCAGAGACACCAATATTTCAGTTAGTGATGAGTGGGATTCAAAAGCTGCTCACTATAAGACAGAGGCCATAAATCATGCTAAGCACATACGCTGCAGATAGAAGAATCTAGCTTTAGTTGTTGGCATCACCAGATAGGCCTTGGATAAAAAGACACCTCAAGACATCTGGGGTCAAATCAGAGGACAGCAACTGCCAAAGGCACTTGCCTAAAAAAAAAAAGTCAAGTAGACCAGATAGGCGGGGTATAAATCAAATAAATCAAATAAATAATAATAATAAATAATGGTCCAATGTGTCCTTCTCAAAGCATGACCGAGTGCTTTATATTAAAGGCTAGGAACAATTAGGATGGCAGAATTTTAATGCTATAATGCTAAGCAGAGATGAAAAATATGTTGTTCAGGAGCACTCCTACAAAAGAACGATGAGTACTGAGCTCAGTAAAAATCTTGGACACTTAGTTTGTTAAGTACACATCACATTCGAAAAATGTTTCTGGGGCCATTTCTACACTACAGGCTACATTTCTAAGAGTACCTGTCTATGGCTATCTTGAGTATACATTCTATGGCAAACCTGGATTACTCTGTGTAGGTCCAATGTGTCCTTCTCAAAGCATGACCGAGTGCTTTATATTAAAGGCTAGGAACAATTAGGATGGCAGAATTTTAATGCTATAATGCTAAGCAGAGATGAAAAATATGTTGTTCAGGAGCACTCCTACAAAAGAACGATGAGTACTGAGCTCAGTAAAAATCTTGGATACTTAGAGGTTTGTTAAGTTCACATCACATTCCTTTTAGGGATGGAAAAATGTTTCTGGGGCCATTTCTACACTACAGGCTACATTTCTAAGAGTACCTGTCTATGGCTATCTTGAGTATACATTCTATGGCAAACCTGGATTACTCTGTGTAACAGAGGCAATGGGACTCTGATGCTCACTTTAGTTGCTTTCAGCTTCCATTCATATTGAGTTCTTTCATTTTCCAGTTCTTCAACCTTAATTTTTAAATGTTTCAGTTCCTGTAACAAATTCTAAAAAGAGAGAGAGAGAATTAAAATCATTATTCATGAACATGGACACATGGTTGAAACAGTTCAGTCAATGCTATAATTCCTGTAAAACGAAGTTATCCTGGTCTAGAATAATATGAGTTTTCTTGATTTGATAGCCTGTTTAAGTGTACGTGTAATTTGTAAGCCGAGACAGCTACAAGGAAAGAACAACAAAGGGAACACAAGAAAAACAATTAAATTAAAAAATTGCAGAAAATGGTATACTGTGTCCTATAAACAGAAAAGAAATCATCTTCCTTTGAAAAAATGAAAGGAATGTAACACAATACTAGTTCAGTTTTTATATCAAATTAGTAATTGGAAACCTACTGTTGGCTTGCACATTCCATTCTGTCCCTCCTACCTAAACACAATTCCCCCAACCTTTTCTTTGTTGGTCTATTCACAGTGATTCGAAATCGTGCTTTGAACTCGTTTTCCAAACCATGGTTTGGAGCAATCTTTATCAGCACCAGTCAACAAAAGGAATACAGGAAAAACAATTAAATAAAAAATTGCAGAAAATGGTATACTGTGTCCTATAAAGAGAAAAGAAAGCATCTTCCTTTGAAAAATGAAAGGAATGTAACAATACTAGTTCAGTTTTTATATCAAATTAGTAATTGGAAACCTACTGTTGGCTTGCACATTCCATTCTGTCCCTCCTACCTAAACACAATTCCCCCAACCTTTTCTTTGTTGGTCTATTCACAGTGATTCGAAATCGTGCTTTGAACTCGTTTTCCAAACCATGGTTTGGAGCAATCTTTATCAGCACCAGTCAAGCATCTTGTAACTAGCATGGTGGCACCAGAGCACCACGCTGCCAATCAGAATTGTCTAAGCAATGACATCACAAAGCTAAATCAGAGTGAGGAAACCACTTCCTTGCCCCCCCACTAGATTGAATAATACTTGACTTTATTTTTATTATAATTTACACTAAATTGAATAATACTGTACCTGACTTTATTTTTATTATAATTTCCTGTTTTCCCATCTTGAGCACTACTAAGCATTACTAATTATTATTGTTTTTAATTGTTTTTAACTGTTTTGGTTTATAATGTTTGATGGAACCTGCCCGGAGTAGACTTTGTCTAAAAGGGCGGGATAGAAATCTAATAAATAAATAAATAAAATAAATAAATATTTTTGCCACATTTTGTAGTCATTCCCCTTACCCCATTACTGTTGTACAGGCGAGGGTGACTTTGTCAGTGAGCTAGTTTTTCATGAATGTGCCCATTTTATCTCAAATATAGGCATGCATTCTTTGACATCTGTAATCCCTTCAAAATAGCAAATGATTGAAAACTGATTTGTTTAAAATGATAAAATAAATATTTCTACCACTGTAGAAGTTTGACATGCAAAAAAACGCCTTTAATCTGGTATGCTGGATGGGACAGGGCAAAATCCAGGTACAAGCAGAGTGGCATACTGGAGCTCAACAAAGTTCTCAGCTAGATCAGTCAACTGTTTGTAAATGGACAAGCTACATAACTTTTCTGTAAGGCATTCAATGTAGCATGGAAAGTTCGTGCCTCTGTTTCAAAGACAGCTTTATATGATCACAACTATTATTCTAACAGTCCCATTTCTTATGAGCCACTCTCATACCATATTTTTCTCCTATCTATTGGTGCTTAAATAAGAAATCTTTTGGACTAATCTTATTTAGTCTGGTTCTTTAGTCAATGTTAAGGAACCAACATTTGTGATACTTTTTAATGGAAGACAAAAGAAAAGGACAACAAAATTACTTTAGGAAATATCAAACCGAACCAACATGAGCAGATTAAAAACATGCATCTCCAAAAATGTGATCCTATAAAGTTCAGAAGGCAACAGTGCAACTTGAACAAACTGAGCTACCAGTAAGTCTTAAAATGAGCTTATGTTAGGCATACCAATGTCATTTCTCTTCTGTTCAACTTCATCAGCTTAACCAAAGTAGCTTTCAGTCTGCCATGTGAAGTGGTTTTTGATCAAACAAAGTAAAGGTTTGTTCTACAAATTCCAGAAAGCCTTTACTGAAGAGCTTGTTTCACAAGATAAGCAATCAAATGTATGGGGTTTAAACAAAGTAATGGAGCTTTATTGTGGCTTTCCCCTGCCACTCCTCCGATCCTCTCAAAATGTACACTCTGAGCAAAAATCATATGCCTATGAATTTGAGACACTCTACAATTCATTTTCTTAAATGATGGGCTGGTCCAGAGATTTCCTCATGGCCTTAAGGTAACGTGTTGATACAGAAAGTAAACCCCAAACTGAAAAACCCTAAATCTGTTTTCCTATGTTCAATGATGTATTGATTTCAGCAAAATTAAGTATTAAGTATTTTAAAACCATATATACATGGTCTATTGCCTCTACATTCATTGATCAATACACTGTAGCAAAAGTAGGTTTACTGTACTGAACAGTTAGGCAGAATGCTATCTGTACCCATATCCGTACATATCCTTAAACAAATGAGCTGACCTCTTTGAAATCAGCGAAGGGGGATGAAATATCCCTAACAGGTTTCTTGGCTACAGCGTTGCAGGTCAAACCACAGTTCTAATTCAAATGGCATACTGAAAATATATTAAGCTTCAAGCCAACATGCGATTAATCTAATCAGATAGGTTCCAGAACCAAACCACAGCAAGGTATATAAAAAAATGCATTTTGTGTTAAATCTTCTTACAGCAAAATTTAGTATTAAGTATTTTAAAACCATATGTACATGGTCTATTGCCTCTACATTCATTGATCAATACACTGTAGCAAAAGTAGGTTTACTGTACTGAACAGTTAGGCAGAATGCTATCTGTACCCATATCCGTACATATCCTTAAACAAATGAGCTGACCTCTTTAAACTGAAACTTTGAAATCAGTGAAGGGGGATGAAATATCCCTAACAGGTTTCTTGGCTACAGCATTGCAGGTCAAACCACAGTTCTAATTCAAATGGCATACTGAAAATATATTAAGCTTCAAGCCAACATGCGATTAATCTAATCAGATAGGTTCCAGAACCAAACCACAGCAAGGTATATAAAAATGCATTTGGTGTTAAATCTTCTTATAGCAAAATTTAGACAGTCATCTATGCTGCCTCCAGAGCAGCTCTTCGAATTTTAAGTAGCTCTGATACAATTATTCTAAAAGCAAAAGGTTTTACATGACTTCCAACGGAAAGTCATGACACATGGTTACTTTGCTGGGATCAAAGCTAAGACAAGCAAAACTGGTTTATTACTGAACACCACAGTTCACCTTGAGAAAGTCAAACATGTTAACACCAGCTGATCAGAGCAATATTTGGTTAGCAGTGTTTAGTCTGGTCTTTGGGATGGGGCAATGCATAGACTCAGGATAACATTTGCTCCTCATACATCAGACTGAGAGCAATTCTTCTCTGTTGGGATCTCTGTCACCGATTCAGTGCTATCTTGAGGACCGACTGTTGCCATATTTGGCTTCCTACTGTGGGATTTTCTTTCCTGGATCTTACTATTAATCTCCAGCTGCAGTCTACACATCTGTTCTTGAAGTTCACTGATCAGGTTCACTACTGACTATATAAAAGAGGAAGAAAGAAAATGAAGGCTAACGACAACAAAGAACGAAGCCAAGAAAACTGCTGAACACTTTCAACATAAAGCTCTGGATTGTCAACAATATCATAATGAGAGAGGCAGTAAGGTGCTTATTTGTTTGGGGGAAAAGAATTAGGATGCAAAGCATAATGTGCACCATTTATCAGGTTCTCTTTTAAACTTAAAACTAACTTGCTGCCCCTGCTCAGAGACCAGAATTACAACAACATTGCTTTAAGAGTTTCTTATAATGCATCATAACTCAAGAATCATCTGCATGATTCTTTTATGCCTTTCAGATAAATGCCCTCTTTGCTGACAAAGCTGAGAATAACAAGAAACATTAAATAATAATGCACTCATAATAACTCAACAATCATGTACACATTATTTAACTCCTGCCTTTACTTCGCGAATACAATCAAGTGCACAGTTTGAGCGACCTTTGTATCATTTACCTCATTTACCTTTAAGTATATAACACCCTAATGTGGAAGTTTAGTAAAATCAACCATGGTGCATTAGCTTTCTTGTGGGATCCATGGACCATTCCTACAGATAGTTGCTCTCCTTAATCTACTCTGGGTCTCTCAGCTAGGTACTGGCAAACAAGGTAGACCAAACCTGTGCCCTGTTTAAACCCAAGGCTATCTCCTAAAAAGTTCTGCAGAATTCTCCTTAGCATATGGGTGCAACAGGGGACAAATGGGTATGGACAGAGTTTTCATGGAGACAGGGTGACTGAAACTAATCTCCCTAAATTAATATGAATCTCTTATCTGGAAGCTGCATTTGTTTACAGACACCAGTTCTTCAAGCTAAGAGCCCACAGGATGCAAAAGTGCACTTGGTTCTCGTCCCCTAATGTTAACTGTTGTTCTAATACCAAACCAAATGTCTGAGGGGAAAAAATCCATTTTGTTTTAAAAGAAAAGAAAGAAATATGACATTGCATGGTAGAACTCTGCACCGACATCTCAACTAAGTGTTTTGGGTTTTAACTGGCTGTGACTCATCTAACTTCATGCAGAGATTAAGGCCCAGTTTTCAAGAACCAGTTCAGCATAGTGTAGTGATGCAATCATTATTCTGAAGGGCAAGGATAATTTATTAAGACTATAGTCTCCACGTGGTTGTATGGGCACAAATCAACATTTACTGCTTGTTTATGTGAACTGGGCCCTTTGGTCATGTTACTAAATGGATTTTAGTTCTCTAACCAAAGAGCACAAGCTGCAATAATTCCAAAGTTTATATTCTCAGACTTTGTGTTAAAGGTAAAGGTAAAGGTTCCCCTTGACAATTTTTGTCCAGTCGTGTCCGACTCTAGGGGGCGGCGCTCATCCCGCTCTTCAAGCCATAGAGCCAGCGTTTGTTCTAGTTCTCTAACCAAAGAGCACAAGCTGCAACAATTCCAAAGTTTATATTCTCACACTTTGTGTTATGATGATAAAAAAAAACCTATGAGGGAAATATTTGTGGAAGGTAACTGTTTTTTTTTTTTTTTTAAATTTAAAGACTATCCCTTTTTTCCTAAAACAGCTTATAGGCAACACATCCAGAATTAAGATGTGTGATGAAGCAGACGATTTGTACTGGGCATGAATATAGTGATGCAATCATTATTCTGAAGGGCAAGGATAATTTATTAAGACTATAGTCTCCACGTGGTTGTATGGGCACAAATCAACATTTACTGCTTGTTTATGTGAACTGGGCCCTTTGGTCATGCTACTAAATGGATTCTAGTTCTCTAACCAAAGAGCACAAGCTGCAACAATTCCAAAGTTTATATTCTCACACTTTGTGTTATGATGATAAAAAAAAACCTATGAGGGAAATATTTGTGGAAGGTAACTGTTTTTTTTTTTTTTTTAAATTTAAAGACTATCCCTTTTTTCCTAAGACAGCTTATAGGCAACACACCCAGAATTAAGATGTGTGATGAAGCAGACGATTTGTACTGGGCATGAATAAGTGGAATTACAGAACCACCGAACCACATACTTTCACTTGACTCCATAGGTTGGCTTCACTAAGCTAGAGCCAGATTGTAACCCATTGCTTTGCAGGGCAATCCAAGAAGCTACAATCCATTATCTGGATGTCAGGAGCACTAAACAATTCTCAACTTTTCACAAATATTTTTGCTTCTACAAAGACCCTTTCATGTGCTGTATATAGATATGTCTTGTCCTGCTGGTTCTCTTTTCTCTTGATCTGCCCATTTTTGTTTGTCTGGTCAGATATGGGAAGACCATTAGGTCCATAGGTTCTCTAGATTCTAATACTGAGGCACATATTTTCCTGAATTAAAATGGGGTAAAAAACTAGAGTGTGGAAGAGTGAGAATGAGCTGTCTCAGTGCAGAACATTCCCTGTTTTCCCATGAGATTCTAGTCTTTGCATGCATCCTGATATGGAGGAGACAAACAAACAGCAGCAATTCATGTAGGGATACAACAGTTCCCATAGAAAGTAGGTCATTCTGCTGCATCAGGAGTAAGTGGATCACTTAATGATACCTAATGCAGAGGTATGACAGATTACCATAGTTCACTTAAGGCTGATTGGAAGGAGAACAGGCTGAAGCAGTTGTTCATGCAGAGATGTTGTAAGCCAGTGGTTCCCAACTTTGGTGCCCAAATATAGCATAGGCATCCTTCAGTCTCGAGAGACCATGGTAACGTGCTCTGTATTGAGGAGTGTTCTCTCCAGAGCATGAAGCCTGGATAAAGTAATATGGAGGATAGGCTGTTACCCAAGCAGCAGATTCCCCCCTCTCCACATTGCTGAAATGGTCCAATGGAAAGGCAAGAGCCAATACAACTGGTTCCAGCAACGTCGCAGGAGTTGGCAGAACTGCCTGGCTATATCCACTCATGGAAACGGCTTCAGGAGTGCCCAAATGGTCTTGGACTAAAACTCCCAGAAGCCACTAGCTGTGATAGCCAGAAGCTGCAGTCCAAGAACTTCTGGGGACCCAAGGTTGGGAACCACCGTTGTACAGTCACCTCTGCAGACAGATGCTTCATAGTATTCATATATTTCCATTGCATGTCCTGACACAGTTTGGGGATGCACTGCTGTAACATGCTTTCATACTTTAGCTTGGCAGACATCACAGTAAAACTGCTTGTACAAACCAAAAATATTATAAAAGGCAACATTTTAATAGCTGCTTCAAAAAAACAAACAAAAAAGAACTCATGAATGTGCAGTTAACAAACTGAGGAGTCATATTTAAATGTAAGGAAATACTCAAGACAACAAAAAAGGCTCACCTCAGCTTTGTTCTGTTTCTCCTCATACTCGCTCTGTTCCTTTTCCATCCCAACCAGTTTAATCTTTAGGTCTGACACTTCTGCCATTAGATCCAATTTCTGAGTTTCAAGCTGTGTTCGACTCAGCAGCTCCTAGAAAGAAATAATAGTTTCACTCACTGAACTCCACGAGTCATAGAAAAAGTCAGTGCCTGTTCCTTGCTGAAGCGAAACAATTTATAAGCAGCACTGACAAGAAAGGAGAATTCAAATAAACATTAGGAAGGACTTTCGAACAGTAAGATCTGTTTGACAAAGGAATAGACTACTTTGGAAGGTGGTGAATTCATTGGATGTTGTTATTGTTGTTTTTATTTATTTATTTGTTTTTAAACAGAAGTTGGATGGCCATTTTCCAGGCATGCTCTGCCTGTGGATTTCCTCTTCAAGGCAAGGATTTGGAATCAACTCTTGGGGTCTCTTTCATAATTCTACAATTCAATTAATTCCAAATATAATTTATGAGCAACATTGCCTTGTTCTTAGTTCTTAAAGTGTACTGGGTTATAGAAACATTTAATATGCATTTACTACCATTACCCACTTGGTTCCCACTGTGGTGTAGTGGGCAAAGTGATGAAATGGCTCTCTGGAACCATTCCATGAAAACTCACTGGAGGAGTGGAACTGGTTAAACCACTTCTTAAGTACCTTACTTACTTTGAAAGCCCTATTAGGTTTGCTATAAGTCAGTTCTAACTTGATGATACAAAACACAAAATACAAAACACACACACACAAACACACACACACACACAACTCTTAAAGAAACTACTTAACTAACTCTCTCCTCTCCTAAACCAAAGGAACTAGGAAAGAAAAGACCCTTAAGAGTAAGGTTGTGTCAGTGGAGGCCAAGGATAAGATCATCTGTACCAGTGGTTCCCAACCTTGGGCCTCAGGATGTTCTTGGACTACAACTCCCAGAAGCCTTCCCTTCCACCTCTGCTGGCCAGGATTCTGGGGCTGAAGTCCAAGAACTTCTGGAGGCCCAAGTTTTGGGGACCACTGATCTATACCATGTATTCCTAATTACTATTACTAAACTAAGGGTGGGACTATACAGTGGGGAAAATACACTTTGATCCATTGTGATCCACAGTTTTTCAAAGTGGGTCCCTGTTGGTTTCTGTAGGTGAAATCACTGTAGGATTACCAGTTACTCAAGGAAACACTCATTAGGCCCATAAGAAAGAAACCTAATTTGGCAGCAGACGAAATTGGCAATTATAGGCCTGTCGCCAATGTTTCTTTCATTAGCAAAGTGGTCGAGAGGGCGGTGGCTGACCAGGTTCAGGCTCATTTGGATGAAACAGATGCCCTGGATCCATTTCAGTCGGGTTCAGGCCACGCCACGGTATAGAGACGGCATTGGTCGCCCTGTGTGATGACCTTTGACGGGTCAAGTATCTCTGTTGGTCCGTCTCAATATCTTGGCAGCTTTTGATACCGTTGACCACGGTATCCTCCTGGGAGGCTCTCCGGGTTGGGAATTGGCAGCCATGCGCTTGCATGGCTCCGATCCTTCCTCGGGGAGCGTCCTCAGAGAGTACAGCTTGGGGAGAGGTTATCGGCCCCATGGACCCGAAGTTGTGGGGTTCCGCAGGGCTCAATCATCTCCCCAGTGCTGTTCAATATCTATATGAGGCCGCTGGGTGAGGTCATCAGGGGGTATGGGGCATTGTGTCATCAATATGCTGATGACACCCAGCTCTACATCTCCTTTTCACCAACTGCAGGTGATGCTGTCCTGTCCTGGGGGCCGTACTGCAGTGGATGCAGGAAAATGGGCTGAGGCTGAACCCAGACAAGATGGAGGTCCTGAAGGTGGGTGCCCCCACTGTCGGTGATTTGGGTGACTCTCTCTCATTTGGGGGGTGACCCTCGCCGCAAAGAGTGGGGTTCGCAGCCTGGGGATCCATCTGGACCCGGCACTCACCATGGAAACTCAGGTGGCGTTGGTGGTCTGTACTGTCTTTTTCCATCTTTGGCGGATAGCCCAGCTGCGACCCTATCTCGATATAAGGGCGCTCACTACCTCGGTACATGCGCTCGTAATCTCAAGATTAGACCACTGTAATGTGCTCTATGTGGGGCTACCTTTGAGGTTGATGCGGACAGTCCAAGTGGTGCAGAATGCGGTGGCCAGACTCCTTAGTGGAACAAGAAAATACCATCATATTTCTCCTATTCTGGCCGCATTGCACTGGCTGCCCATTCGGTTCCGCATTGACTTCAAAGTCTTAATGCTTACCTATAAAGCCCTAAATGGTTTAGGGCCTTCATATCTGGCGGAATGCCTACTCCACCAAGGTCTACCCATATCACCCAAGTGAGTCAGGAGGTGAGGCTGGGGAGCGTGATGCCGAGGGAGGCCCGGAGGGAAAAAGCAAGAAACCGGACCTTCTCGGCGGTAGCTCCTTGCCTCTGGAACAATCTGCCTCTGGAGATTTGTGCAGCCCCCTCGCTGGGCATCTTTAAAAACCAATTAAAAACATGGATGTACACGCAGGCCTTCCCTCCAGTTAATATTTGACCTTCTTTTCTTTGTCCACTTTTTATTTTTTTATTTTCCATCTTGAAGAACTAGTTATTTGATGTAATAATTTCTTTTTTGTTATATTTACATGTTGTTTTATGTATTTGGAAGCTGCCTAGAGTGGTTATAAGACCAGATAAGCGGGATATTAAGTAAGTAAGTAAGTAAGTAAGTAAGTAAGTAAGTAAGTAAGTAAGTAAGTAAGTAAGTAAGTAAGTAAGTAAGTAAGTAAATATAGTCATCCAGATGACAAACAAGTTTCTCTCTTATAGATCCCCTAATGCCTCTGATCTGACAAGTTGCTGCTAATTGATAATTTGCACTTCCATGAGAATTTATTTTTCCAAACTGGCTTAACAATAATTGTATCAGAACTGCTTGTGGAAAGTCTTTTTTGCTATTATTTGGAGACAACAAACACCTGGCTGAAGGGAACCATCATCCAGATGACAAACAAGTTTCTCTCTTATAGATCCCCTAATGCCTCTGATCTGACAAGTTGCTGCTAATTGATAATTTGCACTTCCATGAGAATTTATTTTTCCAAACTGGCTTAACAATAATTGTATCAGAACTGCTTGTGGAAAGTCTTTTTTGCTATTATTTGGAGACAACAAACACCTGGCTGAAGGGAACCACACCCCTACAAGTGCTTCTTTCCACTGGATCAGGAAACCACATAGGACAGAAAGCAGAGAAAAGTGATGCCAATGAACAGGAGCAAAATTAAACCACCCTGCCATTTGAGCTAAAAAAAAGAGACAATTCTCCACTGGGCTTCCTTGTGCTTAGCTTTGCATCATGTACTGTAGTTGCTAGTCTTTAATTTGTAAATGACTAATACAGTATTTTGGGCATGAGAAGACAAGATTCACTGGAAAAGACAATAATGCTGAAAACACTGAAGCCAGCAAGAAAAGCAGAAGAGCAAATACGAGATGGATTGACTAAATCAGTGGTTCTTAACCACAAGCAGAGCTGGTGGTGAAGGCTTCTGGGAGCTGCAGTCCAAAAAAACCTGAGAAACCCAAGGTTAAGAACCACTGGACTAAATAAAGGAAACCATTTCCTTGAGTTTGTGAGACTTCAGCAGGGCTGCTACTGACAGGGCAGTTTGAATGTCACTAATTCATAGGACTGCCCAAAGTTAGAAGCTATTGGACAGCACATAACAACCACATTCCAAATTATGCTATAGAAAAACTTTGATGAAGGCAGCGTGGATTTTTGTGTTGAAGGGACTGTCAGCTCAATTCAATTGTGGTACTCAAAAACTCACTTGGCTCAGGATTCTATTGTTCCCACTGTATGTCTTGTCTAGCAGGTTATCTGGAGGCTCTGGTAGTCTCTGTTGTAAGTTTTTTTTTGGAACCAACTTTCTTCTGTCCAAATACAGAGCCTCTACCCTTGCTAAGGATTAAGCTTTACAATCACCCTTCATGTCCCACAATGGGAGACAAAGGAACAAACCACAACTGACTAACACATGCATCAGAAAATCCTACCTAGACTCTTTCTTCTTAAAACAGCACACATTTCCCACCATTAAATACAGGTACAAATACACTGGCCCTTATTCTCTTCCCCACTCCCAAAGACCTGCTCATGCCCTAAAACAGAGGAGAGGAAAGGCTGGCCAGGAGGTCCATAGTCCATCTGAATGCCTCTGGGAGGCATAGTCACAGCAGCTCTCTCTTCTTGTTTATCTCTGGAATTGGTGTCCTAAAGTACATTCCAGAAATGGAGGTATTACAATCAGTAGCTAACTCACTGTTCATGCATTTTTCCAGTCCTGTTTTAAGTTTTTTTCCTGGAAGATATGGCATCTCTCACTACAGATGCTAGCTGCGGTAAGCCAGCAGTGAGGAAAAAGTACAGCACACATGACCAGATGAATTCTCTTCCAAGAAAGTATTTCACATTAGCCAGGATTAAATCTTGGCATTGAAATCAACCTTGCCTCAGACTTTTGTTTCTGAAGCCTGTGCTAAAATGCAAGCAAATCAGCAAAAAATAAAAACCAGCTGAAATGATTCCTCTGTTATGCCATGAATATCAAAGTCAGACTTCTGGATGATGCCAACATTTAGTTATGCAAGCAAGCAAAGTTCACTGCTCAGTGTGTTAGAAAGGTACTGACAAAATAGTTTCAATTGCAAAAGAAGTAGGCATTAAATATTGTGTGAACACATTTGAGGAATACTAGACAGCAAGTGAGTTCAAAAAGAACAACTGCTTGGAGAGTTTACTATTGGGTGCTGCTTCTCGCCCAGATGTGCATCACTTGACTATATGCCTCATAATAATGGACAACTAGAATTTTTGTATTGCCTTGAAGTAACAGATAGATCTATAACTTCTCTAAACTCTTACTTTTAAAAAGTAAAATTCAGCTTACATTTCAGTGGCGCTTTTTTAATGTTAACCAGATGATGCTTGCGGTCCAGAAAGTCTACTAACTAAACATTATCTGAAGCACTGCTCAAAGAAAATGCCACAGTGCCGCTGCTAACATGTGGAAATCATTATTTCATCTTCAAGCAGATGCTTACGT